AGTCCTCTTTTAATATCACCCATCCTTACTCATATTCTAGCCCAGACATATGGAATCCGGCTGTGCCTCTGGAAGAAGAATAATTCTTCCTATCAACACTGCCATCACACAGTATTGAAGGGACTTTGGTGTGAATGAGGCCAGCTGACACCCAACCCCCCTCCCCCACTGTTTTCATGCTATCTCCTCTCCTTTCTCTTTGGCTCAGTATCTCTCCTTTACGTACTCTGAACCTCAGATAATTTACCATGTTACTGCTACCAAAGGAGTCTATGTTTTAGCAAGAATCAAAACTGAAGTGAAAAGATATCACTTGGTAGAATTTCAGTAGGTGGAAGAATATTTCCAAAACCTCTCAAATTGCACCCCAGACTTGGTTGCTTCATTCATCCACTACGTGAGGCTGACGCTGGCAGGAAGTCACTGGCACTTTTCACTCATTGAGGTCCTGCCCTCTCTAATCATGCAATCTAAAAGAGAGAACTTTGATCTACAGTGACAATAAAAAAAGTAAGTAATTAAAGCCCGGCAATGTGGATTAAGTAACTCCCCTGTCCCAGGTATTGTCATGGAGGTTCAGGTACACTCAGCTAGCACAAGACCTGTTTTGGCTTTGAGAACTTTCACAGTTTATTGGAAGGGACAAAACATATCAGATGGTGATAAGGAAACGTGTGTGAGTAAAAGGAAAAGAGAAGTATGTTGACAGAAGAAACCCTGAGGAGTTTAGAAAATAGGAATGTTTCTCAAGAACTTAAAGCCTTGGAAGTCTTTTGAAAGGGTTAGTTGTGCACTGCCTGGAGGCTGAGGTATGGACTGGGAAGTGCCTTAGCCCAGCCCTTCCCAGCTGGTTGATTAACTGACACTCTAGCACTGGGATCTTTGCTGCAGAGAAATGGGAGCCTGAGTGCCCATGACTCATTCTCCTCTACTTGACATCATTTTCATATTTTTATTTAATTTTCCCTTCCACATCAGACACCCCTAATTCTCGGGTGGTCTGCCATGCCACTTCCTGCAAAGTCCTAGCTACTTTACTGTAGGTGGTGGGTTGTGGGTACTGGATCTTATTTCAAAAGGAGAGGGGAAATTGAAACCAGAAAAGCTTTGTGATGAATTCTAAGAAATTCTTTTTTTCTTCAACGCAGGTTTCCCAAGGCTGGTGTCTCTAGCTTAGAGCTTGTATTTCTTTTCCTTTCCTTTCTTTTAGATGTGAGTTAACTATTCTAAACGGAAGTCTTTTCATAATCCCATCTAGTTATGCAAACATAGCCTACTGGTATTAACAAATAGAGACTAGATGCAAATAACCCGTTCAATCATAACACGGACTAGCTAGCAGGAGCAAAATGTCTTCTCTCCCCCACCCCATTACCTCATCAGAATTCCTTCCATTTGGAAATGAGCAAGAAGAAAAGGGAGAAAAAAGGGGGACTACTAAGATGTTTCGGTCTTAAAAGGACAGCAGCCGTGGTTGCCTGAATCACACCAGATTGCCATGTGAGCACCTGAAGTAATTTCAGAGTTGTGTGGAATTAAGCATGCATCCCTGAGAAAGGCCAGGTGCCCCCACTGCATGAAGCCTAAATTGATTACAGCTGGAGAGTAGATTCCCAGGGGAGATCACTGAGTCGGTGTTCCACACCCAGGGCTCACACGATTTGGTTCTCTGTGATTCGTTGAGCAGAGCATCGCTGAGTATGGGAAATTTTATGATGTTCGCTGGGGCACTGAGTGTTTTAACTGCTCTGGGTAGGCAGCAAGGCAGTTGTTGGGGGAGGCCTGATACAGGGAACCCTAGAACAGTAATGGTGCTGCCATTTTCTGTAGAAAGAGAGTGTCCGCTGATTCAAAGGAGACGGATAATGTCAACGGGCTTACAGCAAGTCCCCAAGCCTCCGAGCTGATGGCCACTGTTGCCTGCTTTTCTCAGTGCTATTACCTTATCAATGGCTATTCGATTGGTGTAGTGGGTTGTATTTCTGCTTTTAGAATAATTCCTCATTTTTAATAGTTTTTGGGATAGTTTCCAGGACTGTGGGCTCTGTGAACCTTCATAGGTGACTGAGAATAAGATAACAATTGGGGGAAAAAAAGAAATAACAATGCTTTAAGTAGGAAAACCAGATTCCAGAAAAGTATGTGGGTGAAGTCTTCCTAATTTAGCTCTGGGACAGAATTAGATACAAGCCAGGAAATCCCCAGAGGGTGCTCAGTAAATGTTCGTGGGCTGAATGTAGACCAGACCCCTAAAGCTCTTTCTGTGAGCTCCTCCAGTACTTCAATGTTATCAATAGGAAGTTCTTCCTAAAGTCAACCTTAAATTCGTTCTCCAGCAACTTTAGTTCATTCTCTCCTTCTTCCTGTTCTGAGGAGAAACAGGAAAGGTGTTGATAATGCTGTTCTTACATCTCCATTAAATTACCACATATTAAACTTGCTGGTGGAATAAATAACCTCAATTTTGTAAACTTTTCCTTCATAAAGTGACTTCCCAAACATTTCCATGTGCCAGTTTTAAGAATCACAAACGGTTAGAAGTAACTTACACATTATCATATGGACATAGGCACCCTAAGACGAGTAATGTGCTTAGTTCATAAAGTTGCTGCTTCAAGAAATCCCCGCAGTCTGGGTGGTCCTTGGCAGCTAGGCAGGTTTCTATCTTCTCTTGAGCCTGGAAGGAGGTGATAGCTAATGAGTTAGACTAGTAAGATGCAACCTCGCACTGATTAAACGTCCATTTTCTTGGGGGAAATGGCTGACAGGAGCAGGATAAAGCTGTCAGGAAGCATGCAGCAATTTCCCAAATCTCCCACTACCAGTGAGTTTTATTTGTGTGCTTAGAGCTATTATTAGCAAAACAATGGCTGGAAAATGTACCAGGGAGAAAATTAAGAAATGACAGATTTGTTTTTAGAAAGTAAGATAAAAGCTTCTTTGGTTAAGTTTTGTCAAGTTTTTTGAAGCAGAGAGTTTCACGTTAGCAAAACACACCATCCAACCGTGGTGCCTTGGAAAGAGCAGCGAGCGGCACAGTGTGCGCCGGTAATCTGTGCGCGGGCTCTGAGCTCAGGGTCCGCCCGGCACGAGCATGACCTCGTGGCTCTCCAAAAGGTATGAGAAGGGGGAATTTCGCAGCACAACACAGTTCTCGCTTGAAAATCCTAAAGCCCCCTGTGGCACGTGGTGGGGGTGCTGACCGGGCACAGGGTGCGCAGGCGTGTGGCGGCGAATGGAGACAGCTGTTGCTCTCCGTGGGCAACAGAAATGACTCTGGCCTGGGCTGTGCTGTCCAACACAGCGTGGCGACTGAGCACTGGCGATGGGGCCAGACTGACTGAGATGGGCTGTCTCAACGACTCAAGTATGAAAAAAAAATACAAAACCATCACTAATCATTTTTAAGATCGACTACATGCTGAAATGATATTTTGGAGAGATTGGTTAAGTAAAGTATCTTATTAAAATAAATGTCACACCGCGGATGAGCCTTGAAAACATTATGCTAAGTGAAAGAAGCCAGACACAAAAAGCTACACACTGTGTGATTCCATTTGTATGAAATGGCTGATAGGCCAATCCATAGATCCAGAAGGACATGAGTGCTTGCTTACAGCAGGGGGATGGGGGTCTATGGGAAATGGGTGTTGATGGCTATGGGGTGTTTTTACGCAGTGTGAAAATATTCTAAAACTGTGACACTGGTTGCACAACTCTGTGAATGTAACTGTACACTTTAAACGGGTGAATTGTATGGTATGTGAGTTATATCTCAATAAAGCTGTTTAAACAAATTTGGATGCAAAAGATTAATTTTACCTGTTTATTTTAAATGTTTTAAAACTTTAAATTACATAAGTGGTTGGCATTATATTCTGTGGAACCACAGGGCTAAGGGGACTGAGGGTAAAGAAGCTGGGGAAATCCAGGACTAGTGGGACCCAAAGGGAAGGTCATAAACACAGGGCAGGAGAGTGGCAGAAGTGCTCCCCTTTGGTGCAGGGCAAGAAGGAATGAGGGTGAAGGGGAACCTGACCTGGAAGTCTGGGGATTTGGGGCTGTGTGTAAAACTCCAGGACTCAGGCAGTCACCTTGTGGATAAAGTGAAGGTTCCTGTGGCCAGGATTCTCACCTGGCCCTGGTTGGCTAGCTCCCTACACATGTGTGGGCAATACGTTGCTATTGACTCTACATAAAGAGCTCCGCCTGGTGCTCTGCGTGACGGATGGCACAACTGCTGCACGGCTACAGGAGAGCAGAGGCTGGAGGGGTGGCTGATCCGAGGACAGAGACTGAGAAGGCTGTGCGGGCAGAGAGGCCCAGAGGCAGAGACCTGCTTGCTGCATGCAGACTCGCTCTGAGTGGATGGGATTCTAGTAATTGACCTGCCACCGTGGGCATAAAGTTGGGTATAAACCCTTGCACCCCAAGAACATTCTACTGTCATTTCCTTGGTCTCATTGAATCAATAGTGAATTTGTCCGGGGCTGAAATCCATTGGCAAGACACCCTCACCAAGTGCCAGCACAAGGGACCGACGGCAGACCAGACTTTTTGACCCCTCAGCACCCAGGGCATGTTGTCTTCAGTCAACTCTCCAGAAGATTTATCAGCCAACTGTCCCAGAGCTGCCCAGCTGCCTCCTGCTTTGGCCTGCAGCCTCTGGGGCTGAGAGGATCCACATCTTGACCCACATGTAATGCATCTGTATACCCAGAACCCAGCCTTGCTGAGTTGTAGCAGGCAGATCCAGGAGCTCTCCAGACACACATCCTGGAGAATGGAAACTTCTTCAAGGAGTGTTGGCCAAGGGAGCTTGTCTGGCCTCTTTATGGAAAGCCATAAACCAGCCCTAGCACAGTCAGAGGCCTCCTGAATGCAGCATAAAGAGAATCCTTGGGTGCCTTCTTGCCGTCCCCTTCCAACCCTGGTTTCTTTCTGATTCAGTTCTCCTCCAGCTTCCCCAAAAAGCACAACAGTATTTCAAAGGACGCAGCTCAGTGGAAGTTGATGAGGAAGCTATACATAGGGCCTCCCCAAAAGAAAGGGTCCTATAGCTTTTCTCCAGAGATCAGAAAGGTGATTTTTGTCTGAAGGGTGGATTGGGGCAAATTAGCCAGATGAGCTGTAACCCCAACTGCCTACTTCTAGAGGAGGGGTTTGTAGCCTAGAAAGGGGACAGAAAATCAAATACATTGCACTTGGCAGTGGCTGTTTAAATATGAGTAGTGAAAAGTGAGTATTTGACCCTATTCTGTGTCTTGTCCAAGCTATGTCCTGACATTTGCTCCCACTACAGTAAATATTAGTTTTTCTCATAATTGACTATATATCAGGTTTCGGTGGACAGGTGAGTAGCAGGCAAATAAAATGGGACACATGAAGTTCATGAACCGAGGGGCATTGTCTAGGCAAAGCAAGATCTCCTGTTTTCTTGCCCTGAAGAAGTAACAGCAAAAAGGAAACTGTTCAATGAAGATTTAAGAGACACAGGTGAGAGCATCTTCTTCATGACTGTAAGCTCCTGAAGGCCAAGGATTATAATTGTTCATGTCTGCATCTCCACAGTAGGACCTGGCATGTGGTAAGTACTCAAGGAATGTCTGTGGCATAGATAGATGGAGGGGGAGGGATATGGCACAGCAGGTAACTGATGAACATGTTTGTTACGTGAGGGTTTAATGTTCTGGGTGGTGGGTGGGCAGGAGGAAGGACTTGCAAGATTTCATTTATGCCATAGGGAAATACATTCTGAAAGTGTTAAACTAAAACTAATATGATAGCATATTGCATATTTGGTTTTTTCATCTATCTAGCTTTTTCCAAAGAGTGCTTAGATATGTTGAATAAGAGTGAGGGTGGAATGGGAAAAAGATGCCTCAAATTACAGCTCAGGGCCTCTGACTTTCTGGATCGTGTAAAATGCAAACTACTTAGGAGTGGACGAATGACTTAATGATGATGTTGTTAGGGCCCTCAGAATAAATATTGCCTTTTCCATTCCCTGCTGGTACTACACTGTGCAGCTGACATGTCGTCAAGAGGCTGAGATCTCCTCATTCTTATCTTCTGAGTCAGGGAGTACAAGATGGTGAAACACTTGTATAAAAAGCATTTGAATTGTTTATCCCTTGTTCTACAAGGTGAGGTGATCCTTTCTGCCCAAGGACGCTGTTCTATAAGTGAGGTGGGTTTTTGTGTTTGGCAGCTTGCAGACTGCACTTTGAATCAAGATACTCAAAAGTCAGGATACAGAAAATTTCTATCTCTATAATAGAGCTCAAAAGTCTCATCTGGAATATTAGAAGGCAGAAAACTTCAAAGAAAGCAAAACTTTGTGTTACTTTCAGATTGAACTTAGATCTCTAAGAATTCTGTGAAATTATCTCAGGTGTGTCTATGGCATGCCAGCAATCAAGGAGGACGTGACCCTGGTAGGGTGAGTGAAGAAAGCTGGATTCTTGTAAGGAAAGTATTACTGTGATGTCACGATGGGAGTGCACAGGTGCAGCTGGGTGGGAGCCGCTGGCACCAGGGCTCCCTGTGATGGGTCCTAGGGCCCATGTTCCCTGACTCAAGTCACTTCTGTTCATGAACCTGTGCTATGACTCACAAGCAGCCAGCAGCAGTTGAGAGGAAATGATGTGGCAACTGTGTCTGAAGATGATGGTTAAACATTGGAAACAGAAAAGAAAATCCATTAAAAGATATGCTGTTGTCCACTAAACTATGTTTTCTACCTTTATCTTGCATCTACCTACCACTTCAGCATTTTATTAAAAATAATAATAATAATAATAATAATAACAATAAGGGAGAAATGTGGGATTCACATATAACTCAAGTATAAAAATCAAATGAATAATCATATTTGACCTGATTGTTTATAGTTCATGATGCGTGATCAAAACCGAAAGTTTCTGTGATGACTGCCCCTTGCACTGTTCACCATGTAAGAACTTACTCACTATGTAAGAACTTGTTCACCATGTAAGAACTTGTTCGTTATGCTTCAGAAGATTGGAGACTGTTGAGAATTAGGCTTGGGGTTGATTAATGATTGTGCATTGAGTCCCTTATACAAAATTTTATTGTTGTTAACAACCATATGATCAATAAATATGAGAGATGCCCTCTCAAAAAAAAATACGCCGTTGTCTTTTACAAAGGCTGTGCAAGATTTCAAAAGCATGTTTGGCATTCCAAGTATTATCCCTTTTGTGTCTTTAAAGACTAGCTCTGAGAGCGATATTTTTTGTTTATTTAACATTTAATCAAAAGAGATTTGTATCCCACTAGCTTTTGAACAACAGCTTCAGTAGCATTGCCTCTTTGCATTTAGTTCTAGGAGAAAAACTTCAACCATATGGAGAATTTGATGTCTGTAATATGTACTAAAAGATCAGCTGGTCTAACTTTACAGGGCTAATAAAAGGGAAGAATTTTCCTGTGCTCAGGTCTTTTATGAATTATAAATAACCATTGACTTTGGAAGATAGCACATCATAAAATTTTTTTTCACAAATATGCACAAATCCATTTTAAGATCCAAGGGAAAAGATGTTCAGAAGTCTCAGATGTACTCAGTTTTGATTTTGTGGGGAAACATGTTCCTTTACCATATGGATGCTTTTAAGGGGGCCTTCATCTGGGGCTCAATAATGACACCCCAGTGGCTAAATAAAGGATTTCTTTCCTTCTAACATTATTTCTCTGTTATTAAAGGTGGAAAAACCTTCCACAAATAGCATATGATTAGAGTGCTTTAGGGGGTATCCTGGGAATCAAGGTTATGTATCTGCTCCAGAAATACTGTCTGTAATTATCATTCCTCAGTGGTTCTGAGGATGCAGTCTTGGTGTTTTCATTAATTTCTTGATTCTACATGCCTGGAGTGCATGCCTGCTCTTGATATTCAATATTTTACAGTAGGAGTTTTTTGGTGTTTTTTTTCTTAGGGTCACAGGTCTCTCCCCCTCCCTTCCTCTCATAATAACCATTTCCCGGCTTCTTTTGTCTGCTAAAATAAAAAGGTACAAGAGACAAGATTTGAAAAGAAAAAGAAGTCAGATATGAGATTCTTCCAAAGCCAAGCCATCATCTTGCCTATTTATAATCTCATAGAAATATTAGAAGATGGAGCATTCAGATCTAACAATTAAGAGGGACCACGGGTCAGGCAGCACATTGAAAACTCATATACCCACCATCTACTTGTAGACTCTACCATTAACATTTTACTGTTGCTTTATTGAATATATACAGATCTAACTCCATTAATCCATCTTATCTTTTTCATGCCTTTGAAAGTAAATTATAGGCATCAACCAATTCCTACCTAAAAACTTCAGCTCAATATTCACTCTCTTTTGATGTAAAATTTATATACAATGAAATGTAAAATCTGAAGTATACATTTTCTGAATTTTGACAAATGTATCCAGTTTTTGGCTATTGTGAATAAAGCTGTTGGGAATGTTCTTATACAAGTCTTTTTATATATGTTTTCATTTCTCTTGGGAAAAGATCTACTTGTGTAATTGCCAAATCACAGGATAGATGTGTGTTTAGTTTTTAAAAAAACTGCAATTCTTTTTCTAAAGTGGATGTACCATTTTATATTCCCACCAGCAATGTATGAAAGTTCCAGTTGCTCCACATCTTTGCTGATATTTAGTCTTGTCAGTCTTTCTACTTTAAACCATCCTGGTGAGTATGTAGCTCATTGTGAGCTCATTTGCAATTTCCTGATGACTAAGGACATTGAACACATTGTCATGTGCTTTTTATTTGCCACTCATATGTTTTCTTTTGTGAAGGGTCTGTTCAGTCTTCTGCCTGTTCAATAGCCTATTTTTTTTTGGTCTTTATTATTGAGTAAGACTTCTTTATACATCTGGACATCAGTCTTCTATTGAGTTTATGTTTCACAGTTTTTCCAGTCCATAGCTTGCCTATTCATTTTCTTAATGGTCTCTTTTGATGAGAAGTTTTTATTTTAATGAATTCTGATTTATCAGTTTTTTTCTTACATGGTTATTGCTTCAATGATCTAAACAAAGCACAATGATCTTAATAAATGGTTTCCCCAAAATCTATTGTAATCTCACAAAAACTCAAAGCTTCACTGGATTCATTGTAAGAGATGTGTTTGTCTAAAGCAATATCCATTCGCACACATATTGGAAACAACTGAGGAAAACCTAGTTATCTGTAAATAGTCACTCTCAAGAGCCTTACAGAGAAGGAAGCAAATTCTAGACCTCTCTTTTCATTTTGCTTATAATCAAAAGGCTTCTATTTTATTGGTGGAAAGAATAACCCCCAATAAAACCACCTGGTCGTGGTCTTGTTATAATATCAAGTCAGCCCTTCTGCTTATGAGCATCATGAATGGGTTTTTATAAATTAATCACATGTTACTGAGAAATTATATTTTAAATGGTTTGAATGTGTGGCATAAATGAATGAAAAATTTCCCCAGAAAGGTTTTAAAAATAAAACCAAAAGAAAGAAATTTATAGAGAGACCCTGGTGTCAGGGATAGCATGGGGCAAAATTAAGAGCAGATTGAAAAGGGGAATAATATTGGCAACAAGAAAAGTAGGACTTGGAAAAATAGAGGCCAGCTGAAGAGATGTAGTGAGATTCTTCCATCCTGTTCTTAGGTGGCACACTGAAACTTTTCCCAAGATTTTACCCCAGACTCTTTGCCAACTGCTCTGTTGTCAGTGAAGCTGTTTGATCTCTCCCTTTGTTTCTCATTTGGACCAAAGGGACACTCAATACAACATGACATTTTGAAAACTAAACTCACGTCTTTTTCACCCTAACTTCAATGTTGTCCTGGCCTACTTTCTCCTCGATATTTTCTTGAAGGTGCAGGCTGAATGTAGTCTTTCAAACTTTCATGCAAACTCCTTTGAGTATCTTTTCCTCTCTGATTCCATCTTTTCCTATGATCATTTATGTTCTGCAATTGCTAATTTAGTTGTGGATAATCTTGAGCCTTTTGCTTCTTCAGTTTACTACTTGTTACCATTAAAAATTTTCTCCTTTATTAGAATCTGTGATTCAGGAAAGCAATGGGGTGAAACTTCCATGGATGATCATTACTGTTTGATTGTGGGTTGAAATTGGCAGTCGAATTTTAGTTTTTCATTGATTCAGTAGGTTTTTATAATCTACTCTAGCCTGCTATTTTGGTATGATTCTCATCAGAAGTTAGTCTGAAATATGACTTATGGAGAGAGTGCACTAATTTGCAAAGCTCTGGGAGTTCTAGCTTCGGGGAATAATCACCAGTGACTATGTAGGTGTGCCTTCCAGGCCAAAGGATGTAGGCTAATAATGAGTCCTTACCTCATTAGGAGTGTGGAGGTTAGACGGGGTGGTAAGCTTTTCTGGCAGATCCTTCTGGATCTGTTTCTGAAGAGAGCAGATACAGTCAGGAGGAGAGAAGGCTAGGTTCTGAGTGAGAAAAATCAAGTAGGACTTCAGGGCCTCTGAAATATTTGCCCTAAATAATTAACACACAAACATGACTGAAGTAATCAGAAGAGAGAAACGAATGGGGTTAAAGTCACAGAGCCACATGATAAATTGTGCCTGGCTAAGCAAGTGGGTTAAGTCACTTCCTAACATGTTGCTAGCAGCACAGATATCTGCATTTAGTGTCACATGCAACTGCAAAATTAACCAAAAATACTCTCCAAGTTTCTTGCCCTTTGGAAGTGTGATTCCTGCTACTATAGCATCTCAATTAAGGCACTCAAGGATCTTGGGCAAGTCTGAGTTAGGTGGGTGGGTCCCTCTGGCCTGCAGCTGGGAGTTAGGGTAGGTCCTTGAATTTGCTGGGTTGTGAAAATTAGGGTGGGTTGTCAAGCTATCCTTTCTGTGCAAGTTTTAAGGCAGTCCTGCTGCCAACTCTCCTCAAGATCATTTACTCCTCATGCAATATTCTTTATACCAATGGAGGTGGGAGGTGAAATTGTCCAAAACTCAGCCTTGGAATCTTTTATTCTTTTTTCTCATTCTGTGCTGCTTCAAAATGTATATAAAAGTAAAATGCAGATCCCTGAAGCACTGTTCCAGCCTGAAAATAAGTTCCAGCAATTTGGCTTGGCTGTGTGGTCCTTTATGAGCAGAAGAGTCTGGGTTGGATAGAGAAATGGGTAATAGGGGAGGGAGCCCATGGGGAACACACACTGAGTGTCTTCTTTCCTCCTCCCCTCCCTCCCTCCCTCCCTCCTTTCCTTCCTTCCTTCCTTCCTGCTTCTCTCTCCCTTTCCTTCTTATCTTCCTTCCTTTGTCCCTCCCTCCCTCCCTCCTCTTTTCCCTCCCTTTCTTGCACTAGCACTCTTGGTCAGCAGCTCCATCTTTCTAAGGAACAGGTCTAAGAACAAAGGGAGGAGCTTTGCAAGGAAGAAGACCAAACAAACTTTTCTTGTGATTGAATAAAAACTGACAATAAAAATGCTAACCTTTGGTGATTATACTGATAACTCAATGGGAAATCAGAACTGTACAGAAGCTCAACTCAACTCTTCTTACGCAAGATAATTCTGTTTGCTTTTGCTGTATTACCAGAGTTCTGCAGGAACATCTGGCTGACTGGCAGTTACGTTTTCTGAAGGGAGGTGTTCACTATTGCTACGGTTAAGTATGTTCTAACTTTCCTTAGTACCATAAGGTTTATCTGAATCTCAGAGTATCTATGATCTTGCAAGATCCAAATTTCCCTTCAAGTTAATTAGCATTCAGGTTTCAGCCTGGGAATAATGTCTCCTGTGGTGGTGACCCTTGCTATCATCCTTTAAGTGAACTCACAGGACTGTTCAGTGATTTTCAACTTTGCTTTGTGGTATGAGGTCTGTGAATGTTTAGTTGACAATACGTGTGTGCCTCTCTCATTTCCTGTTTTTAAGGGCTGCACTTAATTTATTTGAAAGGGTGGAATATTTTAAATTACAATTCAGCAGTTTTGCTAAGGAAGGCTGTAAAACACAATGAGCAAGGAGTTTTACTTCCTCCTTACAATTGCTACTCCCCCGTTTTGAAATCTTGATATCCTCCCATCAGTGGGAATGACTTTAACTTAGACTATAACATTCTGAACAGCAACCAGGCCATAGCTGGAGCTGGAGATGGGCATGGGATTCCTACACACTCTAATTACATTTTCCCAGACACCTTATTAGTACCCAGAATGTGTCTGCCTGTGCTTGATACTGTCCTAGTCTGTTGAGTCCCCTCACAGAGGCGCAGCACTTGGATTGGTTACTGAATACAGTTGCTCAGTCAATCAATTGAAACCTTTCTCCTGCAACCTTAGCAACATGTGACAATGGTCATTAACAAAAGTTAAGAGAAAAACCCCTGACAAATCCAACCAGCCATGAAAATGGTGCCCATTGAGGGCAAAAGGCACTAGTCCTGTCCAGAGAGCACTTTGTGTGGCCAGAGGAGAAGGATCTTCTACTACAACTAAATCCCCACACCAACCGAACCTCTATGCCCACCGGAATATTTTCAGTAGTTGGAGAGGGTCCACATAAAACTTTGTCTCCAGGGTCACACTTCTGTCTCTGATGCTAATTTGTTCTTCAGGGCAAGAGAAGCATTTTCTGAGGAAGGCAAGATACCTGGCAGTGTCACCAGTGGCACCTTTCCAAGCTCCACATCTATTACCTCCCAGCCGGACTCTGAAACCCTGTTGAGGGGCATTTGGCCTGTCTGCCCCGTTGGGACATGCTTCTCCAGATGCTGCTAGACTTAATGAGCTCTCTCCTGTCTGGGAGGCTTCATCTGGGCATCTGTAGTCAGACTCGGCAGAGGCTGGAGCAGCGAACGGAGAATAAAATAGGGGACCTGCCAGAAACATGCACAGGCAATTCATAGGCAAATACATGTTCCCACAAAGACATAATAGCTATGTGTATATGATACCCTCTTGAAGTCCCCTTGCATGATCATTCCAGTTAGTCTTGCCACCTTGAAGGCATATTTTAAACCCTGGCTGAGTAGTCCATTGTGTGGTGATTAGCTCTTAATGAAGCTGAAAATACCTAAATCATCTGACAAGTAATCTGAATTAATTTTTTATGCTATATTGCTAGACAAGTTGGTGTCATGACAAAGACCTGTGCATATATATAGAGATCTGCACGCACAGATATAGTGCACACACACCCATAAACCTAGGCATAAGGAGCAATGGTGGGAAGAAGAAAACAAAAAAGATGGGAAAGAAAAAGAGAAAGAAAACTTCAAAGAGAGCCATGAACTGGAGAGTGTGAAACCCAAGGTAACATTATGAAATTAGTGAAGGTCATTCAGCCCCCTCCCGGTGCACCCCAGTGACCCTCTCCCTATTAGCCCTGTAAGGCCTGTCCCGTATTTCATTTGCCATGGTAGTGGCAGAGGGGTTAGCACTCAGTTAGTTTACTAACTCCTTGGGATTATAAATTGATAATGACTTCAAGTTTAGCACTTCAGGGGATATTAATAAGTTTACAAAGGGGGCGCATGAAGGTCCAAAATAATTAAGTCTCTAATGGTTGAATTGTAAACTGAGAGGAACATCTTTAGTCTGGAGACACGGCCTTGCTCACACACATTTTTAAATGTAGAAGCCTCCTCTGGATATTTTTAAATATTACAGACAATTACAGACAAGAAAAAGTAGTTGGGGTGGGGTGGGGAAGTGCAGTGGGGAGTTAGTTATCCATCAAATGGCTTCTCTTTGGGAAGATGATGCCTTAGATGGAGAGGTGAGGCAGCAGGCTGAACTTTTACACAGAAATAAACTAGGAGTTGACATCAGAATCTTTCATATCTGTCCTTCCGGGAACATGGAAACTTTCTGGTGACAGGAGGTGTGGAAAATTACAATATAGGATATTATGTAATATGTTAAAAACCAAGTCTTACATAACCATATGTATGCACATAGGTTTAAAGTTCCTGAGAGAAATTAAGCCACTCTGAGAGGATATTAAACTGTGGACATCTTCCTATTGAAGAGACAAACCATTTTCTTCCTTTTTCAGATGTTTTCAAGTTCTGCAGTTATTATTAGTCAAGTTTCCTATGGGTATGAGCAACTATCAACTATCAAGACTATGGAACAACAACAACAAAAAAGGAAGCAACATCAAATGTTTATTTCTTGCTCAGGAAGTTAAGAAATTTTTATCTGTGAAAGAGAAAAAGAAAAATTAAAATTGACAACATGTGTAGTATGGTTTTTGCAAAACAAATTTCCAGTGTGCCAGGAAGAGTTGTATAAAATATCTGAAGCATTATGCTGGTGACTAGAGGGAAGAGGTAAAGATTCTCAGTTAATAGTTCATGATCAACCACTTGAACTTGACTTCAGGATAAACCTGTGAGTCCCCAGCCGGGAGAGGGCATGTTTATCTTTAGTGCAGTTTGGAGATAGAGCATTCCTGGGAAGAACAATACTTGGCACGTTATAGGTATAAAATAAATATTTGTTGATGACACAGCAGCACTGCCTCCAAATCAACATTCTCTCAGTTCACAAATACTATCAAAGGAAGAAAATTTTAGAACACCAATGAATGGCTATTTTTCCCTCTTAATCTCTGAGAGATCATTGTTTCCTGTTTCCATGGTAACTAGAAGACTAGAAATTGCCAAAACTTCAGAGACACTTGAAATGAAAGTCAGGGAAAAAAAAAGGCAAATGTTACAGGCAGCATGTATGACAGTGGGCAAAGTTTTTGAAATTTGGGAAGACTTTATTTCTTTGCTTGAAATAATACAATGATTTCCAGAACCTAGAGGTAATACTTGATGCCACACTACTGAATGTTCATTGAGTAGACTTTATTCTTTTCTTGAAAGGAAAGGAGAGACCCATGGGCCTTAGAAGCAATCAAGTGAAGGTAAGCTGTTGGAAATTGCTCTCCTGGCAAGCCTTAATGTTAACCACAATGAGGAGGCCAGTCTGTCTGAAGTGTCCTTGCTCCCTCCCTTCCATGGTGTGAACAAATATTTATTGAGCACCTATTTTCTGGGTAACCTAGCCTACACACAACTAAGTGAAAAATTACAACTCTGATAAGGGCTTCTAAAAGTACATGTAACTATTAGAACATGTAATAGGCAGAGCTGACCTGTCAGTAAGGCCAGGCCTTCCTAAGGAAGTATGATTAAGCTGAGTAGGAGGAAACTAGGCAGTGGTTACCAGGCGTGGGGAGGAAGAACATTCCAGGCAGTGGGAACTCCCGGGCAGAGGCCCTCTGGGGGAAGTAAGCCTCGAGGGTTCAAGGAACTGAAAGCAGTCCTGAGCAGCCTGCGCTGGCAGAACCCCAGAGAGTAAGGGGAATGAACTTGTGGCATGGCCAGCTGGAGGAAGTGAGCAGGAGCCAGGTCATTGCCAAAACACAGCCTTGACTCTTGCAAGGTGGGTTTTTTAAAGACTTTGGTCTCTATCCCTCCTCACTCCAGGGTGAGCTTGGGCTAGTAACAGGAAGGCATGACAGGCCCTTGTGTGTATCTGGGAATGGCAGTTTCTGGTTCATCTGAAGTCCATCAGAATATTGCCATAAATTCCAGATGTGAACCATCATGTTTCAAAGGATTATAATTTATTAAATACTTTAAACCCAAATCATTTTCAAGATATATTATTTTGTGTATAACAATTCAGTGGACACCTCAGAGAAATCATTATGACTTTCAATTATCATCCTATATTAACCCCTCAGAAGCCAGCGTTTGCTCTCATAACCTCCCCTATATTTGTGACCTAGCTGGAATCCAGGAAAAGTCTGCAAGAAGCCAGAATAAATGTGACAAAGACCACATATATTTTAACCAGAGGGTAGGTTCTCATTAAGAACTACTTGATCTTTCTTTTACATATTCTGAGTTCCAAGGCCACAGCAGATGGGGAACAATGATTCAGAAAGGGAGAAGGTATGGGGTGGTATATGACAATAATTGAAAGTAACAGGGACCGGAACAACTGTAGAGGAAGAGACAAAAAAAAAAAAAATTACAATATAGGATATTATGTAATATGTTAAAAACCAAGTCTTACATAACCATATGTATGCACATAGGTTTAAAGTTCCTGAGAGAAATTAAGCCACTCTGAGAGGATATTAAACTGTGGACATCTTCCTATTGAAGAGACAAACCATTTTCTTCCTTTTTCAGATGTTTTCAAGTTCTGCAGTTATTATTAGTCAAGTTTCCTATGGGTATGAGCAACTATCAACTATCAAGACTATGGAACAACAACAACAAAAAAGGAAGCAACATCAAATGTTTATTTCTTGCTCAGGAAGTTAAGAAATTTTTATCTGTGAAAGAGAAAAAGAAAAATTAAAATTGACAACATGTGTAGTATGGTTTTTGCAAAACAAATTTCCAGTGTGCCAGGAAGAGTTGTATAAAATATCTGAAGCATTATGCTGGTGACTAGAGGGAAGAGGTAAAGATTCTCAGTTAATAGTTCATGATCAACCACTTGAACTTGACTTCAGGATAAACCTGTGAGTCCCCAGCCGGGAGAGGGCATGTTTATCTTTAGTGCAGTTTGGAGATAGAGCATTCCTGGGAAGAACAATACTTGGCACGTTATAGGTATAAAATAAATATTTGTTGATGACACAGCAGCACTGCCTCCAAATCAACATTCTCTCAGTTCACAAATACTATCAAAGGAAGAAAATTTTAGAACACCAATGAATGGCTATTTTTCCCTCTTAATCTCTGAGAGATCATTGTTTCCTGTTTCCATGGTAACTAGAAGACTAGAAATTGCCAAAACTTCAGAGACACTTGAAATGAAAGTCAGGGAAAAAAAAAGGCAAATGTTACAGGCAGCATGTATGACAGTGGGCAAAGTTTTTGAAATTTGGGAAGACTTTATTTCTTTGCTTGAAATAATACAATGATTTCCAGAACCTAGAGGTAATACTTGATGCCACACTACTGAATGTTCATTGAGTAGACTTTATTCTTTTCTTGAAAGGAAAGGAGAGACCCATGGGCCTTAGAAGCAATCAAGTGAAGGTAAGCTGTTGGAAATTGCTCTCCTGGCAAGCCTTAATGTTAACCACAATGAGGAGGCCAGTCTGTCTGAAGTGTCCTTGCTCCCTCCCTTCCATGGTGTGAACAAATATTTATTGAGCACCTATTTTCTGGGTAACCTAGCCTACACACAACTAAGTGAAAAATTACAACTCTGATAAGGGCTTCTAAAAGTACATGTAACTATTAGAACATGTAATAGGCAGAGCTGACCTGTCAGTAAGGCCAGGCCTTCCTAAGGAAGTATGATTAAGCTGAGTAGGAGGAAACTAGGCAGTGGTTACCAGGCGTGGGGAGGAAGAACATTCCAGGCAGTGGGAACTCCCGGGCAGAGGCCCTCTGGGGGAAGTAAGCCTCGAGGGTTCAAGGAACTGAAAGCAGTCCTGAGCAGCCTGCGCTGGCAGAACCCCAGAGAGTAAGGGGAATGAACTTGTGGCATGGCCAGCTGGAGGAAGTGAGCAGGAGCCAGGTCATTGCCAAAACACAGCCTTGACTCTTGCAAGGTGGGTTTTTTAAAGACTTTGGTCTCTATCCCTCCTCACTCCAGGGTGAGCTTGGGCTAGTAACAGGAAGGCATGACAGGCCCTTGTGTGTATCTGGGAATGGCAGTTTCTGGTTCATCTGAAGTCCATCAGAATATTGCCATAAATTCCAGATGTGAACCATCATGTTTCAAAGGATTATAATTTATTAAATACTTTAAACCCAAATCATTTTCAAGATATATTATTTTGTGTATAACAATTCAGTGGACACCTCAGAGAAATCATTATGACTTTCAATTATCATCCTATATTAACCCCTCAGAAGCCAGCGTTTGCTCTCATAACCTCCCCTATATTTGTGACCTAGCTGGAATCCAGGAAAAGTCTGCAAGAAGCCAGAATAAATGTGACAAAGACCACATATATTTTAACCAGAGGGTAGGTTCTCATTAAGAACTACTTGATCTTTCTTTTACATATTCTGAGTTCCAAGGCCACAGCAGATGGGGAACAATGATTCAGAAAGGGAGAAGGTATGGGGTGGTATATGACAATAATTGAAAGTAACAGGGACCGGAACAACTGTAGAGGAAGAGACAAAAAAAAAAAATGAGAAAGAAAAAGACTAAATAAAAAATGAAGGAAGGAAGGAAGAAAGAAAAGGAAAGAAGGCAAGTAATCTGGGTCTTTTAGTTATGAACAAACTGTCTTGCATGCCTTAGATCTTGAGGGCATCACTGTTTTTATAATGAGACCTTTTACTTAAGTAGTCAAGGAGGTGTTTTAGAAAGATTTCTAGCCTACAGGGTAAGGGTTTTTAAAAGGGTTTTGGTACTTGAAGAGTGGATCTTCAGTGATTTGGGAAAATTGCCTGTTCAGAATGGTTCTTACAAAGGTTCTGTATAATTATGGTTTTATTGTAGTCCAGTGGAGGTGTTAGTTAATAAAGGTTTCAGGCTGAAAAGTATCCCACACACCAGCTTTTGCTGAGACTGCTTCGTTTTCACAAGTCATCTAATTCTGGGTTTGAACGAAGTCATTGGAAGTGACACTTTTCATATCTGAATTGTCATGATGCTATTCTTGACAGGGAATGAGTTCTTGAGTATTTAAAAATACTGTAGGTGATAAAATGCTCTTAATAAAAACATTTTAAAGTTTGCCTTTCACAGTTTTAACTTTGATTTTCATGCTTAACTCTTAAATGCAAATAATTTTTCTCTAGGCATAAGGTGCTCCCTAAAGTTACATGATTGTCTGAATTGTATGTTATTACTTCCTCCAGATGAGAGTGAGAATGAACAAAATATAGTTTGATCACTTTGGAAAATGCTCATGCTATATGTTTATCAAATGATTTGAGGGATTGACATTGTTTTCTTCAAATATGTCCTCCATACATGTCAGAGTATCTTTTTTCTCCCTAGAGAACATGTTCATACTGCAGTACCTAATGTCCTAATTGCGTTTTTCTTGTGTCATCTCATCTATTAAAGGTATCTGCAGAGTGATGCAATTTTGAAGAAATCATTAATTTTCTAAATGATTCTTCCTTCTATAGTGCTACTTTTTCAGTGTTTTTTCCCAGTTGCCATAGGTAAATAAATAGAGAAGTAAGTATTTTCACATTATCCAATTGAATAGTATTCTGTGTCTATTCTGTGACAAGCTTGACAAAATACTCAGTAAAAAAGTTAGAGTTAATAAGAAGGGGGAAGACTAAAAGCTATAATTAAGGGTGGCATTTCTTATTTCTTTTGACTATCACTGAGACTGGTTGGAGGATAAACATTCCAGTTCTGAGATTATTTTCATTTGATGAGACCTTCACCACTGTATTTGAATTGGAATGAATAGAAGAATGATAATAGTCTGGTCAGTTTCCACAATGCTGAAATTATACACAGACCAATATTTACACTAAAATATCTTTGCTAAAAATTAACAAGAACAGATTATCTAATAGTTAACAAAAGCAAATACCTTTTGCCTTTTGAGGGAGGAATTATTATCCAAATCAATATTTGAAGCAAATTTATTTGTAAGCAAATTGCCAACCTATTGTTTTTTGTATATGTTGAGCTATGATTTATTTTTCAAAATTCCAGATTTTAACATTTAAGGCTTCCATCTTAACAGAATACACTGGTCTTAGAAGTAGGATGGAAAAGATTGGCTGGTTGAGTATACTTTCTTATAATTACAGAAAATTCTAGGAGGATACATCTTAAGGAATGGAACAATGAGTTTGTAAGTGGTGAAGTGGCATCACATTATGGTGTTTTGCAATTTTGCTTATTCTGAAGAATTATCCAGGGCATTGGTTAAAAAGATTCCCAGTCCCACTTTGGCCTTCTCCAGAAGAAAAGTAAAGGAAATCTGTATTTTTAACAAGAACTCAGGGTGATAGTTCTGATTGGGCAAGTTTGTGAAATACTGGATAATGGAGAAATCCCTGGCTTTATCATCAGACAGAATGAACTTGAATTCCTGCTTGGCCAGATTAGAGCCAAATAACTTTTGACAAATTTCTCTGAGCCTCAGTTTCATTATTTGTTTCTTGTGTGTGGGGACTGGGACATCAAATGAATTATGGGTTGTATAAATCCTAGCATTGCGTTTGTACCCACTCTCTAAAAAATATTAATAGCAACATAGTAGTGGTTTGTTTCTCTGGAATTTAACAAAGTTCAAATGGTTCAAAATTTTCCCTTCTTCAAAGATGGAGCAGTTGTTTTAAATTGATCAATTCTGGGTCGATCATTCCCTGCCCACCTCTTATTTTGTTCAAGAATCTATTTGGTGTGAATGACTGACCAGGAAGATTCTTTCAGTACATTTCTGTTTTTGGACATTTTGCCCTAATGAAGTGTCATCTCTAATATTTCATTCTTTACTCTTTTTTAGCCATACAGAATATAATTCTCTGTCCTTCCACTGGAGGGGAGAATAATGCCTGGTTCATGGCCTAACTATGCTGTTATAGGCTTTTCATCCTCTCTAAAAAATGTAATTATATTGCAGGGAACATAATTGGCTTTGGTTATAATATAAAAAGTATATCCCAGTATGATGAAGAACAGAAAATGGGTATAATTTTGTATCTATTTTCAGATGACTTGAAGTTCTAATCCCATTTTCATGGCCTGGAATCTTCCTACTTACAGTAGATATTTTCTTAATTAGCTAAGATGATTAGCAGTAATGATGAGGCAATGCCATTTTTTCTTTCCGCAGGTCTCCTAGCACTGCCACATTCTTGCCAACAAAGGGTAGTTTTCAAAGTTGAGTGTAAAGAAGACACGTGGGGAGTGAGTGTCAATTTTTTGGTTCTCAGCACCCATACTGTGTATTCTTTGCTCTGGGGGTCACTCAAAGGGTCTCTTTGAAAACCACTGCTCCAGGAATTTGATTAATATTGAATTCAAATTTTTTCATTTTTAAATGAAA